TCGGCAAAGCGCAAATTTTTCAAATGAACAGAGTAAATCCTGCGATAATCAACTAAAGAGAAAAAAAAGTAGAAACTTGTGCTCGCCGTTCGACATCATTTGAAAACTTTCTAGGCAAAACAAAATACGTAAGATAACTTCTTTTCCCATAACACCACGACTGTATTAAACTTTCAAACGAAAGGACAAGAAATAAATTGAAGAATACGAACACTATGCAATATTATTCGAGCGATGAACCGGCTTAAGAGTTTTTAGGCGATGAATACCAGAGTCAATGTTTAACCGAAACGTGATCAGTTGAATTCAAAACTGAAGCTAGTATCAAACGATGATAGGAAAAAAAAAGTTTGAATTTTTTTCTGGGTCTTAGCGTAAGAGAATACCCAGATAGGACACGACTTACCTTCTCTTCTTTCGCGGATCCCTTGCAAGTCGCTTCTCTTTGCTGATGACCTCTTTTCAGTCTGTTTTTGGGAGCGACTATGTATTTCCTTCTCGCGTTGCTCTTCGCTAGAAACTCGCCTTTTTATTTATGCCCTTCATTGTTCTCTTTCGGGTTCTTCTCGCCGTATTCTGCCTATTTTGGCGTCCTTTGTAACTTTCTTGCGCGATTTTCTGGACTTGCTCTACGCCGTTTACTTGTTGCTTTCTTTGCTCGCTCTGTCTCTTTATATCCAGCCTATTTTCAATTAAAACCCTCTCTCCACGAACTTGAATTATAACAATTTCCTCCGGTTGACAAAGCTTAAACTCTGCCGGTATTGTTGTCTTACGAGTTGTTTTAGAAATTGCATACTGAGAATTACTGTTCAAATACATTCTGATCAGTTCGATTTCCCGCTCAAAACGCCGGTGGCAAATTTCATCTACTAGCTCACGTGAAGCCCTCGTGCAATGCCTAACCGTGTGCCCGCAGTACGCTACACTGCAGCTCGACGCTCGAGTATGCGCACTTTATCGTCATCTGACGGTGTCTATTGGCACACACTGTTGGGGTATCCAAGTTACGCACGCAATCGCGCCTGCGCATTACCTTCTCCCTCGCCCTTCCATTACGTAATAGCTAAGATAGTGCCCGTGGTACAGTTGGCCGCGCATGTTAAAAGTAGCACCTTGTACGGTCATACAGTCGTACGGTCGTACGGTCGTACAACCAAATTTTTTCGGCTTGATGGGTTACTACTATTTCGTATAGTTAATGGGTTACGCTCTGCGAGCTCCGCTATTAAGAATATTTTGGAAGCATGTCGAAAATCGAAATCCAACTGTCAGATCTTTTTTTACTAAGGAACTTGTGGTAGCCCAGTCATAAAATGCCTTTGTTTTTTTGTCTTTTTTTTCCCCCGCCACAAAATGAAAAATTGCGCATTAGTACCCAGTGGTCATTGGGCCCTCAATACCATGACAACAAACTGTGATCCAATGAGGTGTACACATGCTGATCACGTTGTCATGCACGGACAGGGCCGGGTCACATGACGAACCACGAGATTTTTGCTCATAAAATTCTTTTGTCAATCGCTTTGGATTGCGATCACCTGGAGTATTATGGCGCAAACGCCCAAAATACTTACAGACGCATACACAAGTCGTATTGTTCGCGGCCAATCCACACTAAGAGATGTTATTGAGCGGTAATTTTGGAACGGATTGAGTCGCGAACGCTTGAAAGCCGTGAAAGCTTTGAATGCCTTGTATGCCAAGTATGCTAATGTCTTGGTTGAAAAACGTACACTTGTTGTAAAAAGCAAAATCGGAAATCGGAAACCAAACTGCATATACTCTATGCAATCTATTGAACAACACTACTACCGTGAGACTGGAGAACAAAACTCTAATGAATGGAAACTGCTTGTGAAGAAAGACGCCATGTTGGATTCGCTTGATGCCAGGGAACTTACCTACGATGACAGTGCGAATGGAATTAATTTCAAGATCAGAAAGGTGAATCTTATCTTTGTTTTCATTGTAGTTGTATGAATATTCTTTCTTAATAAATACATGATCCAAAATCGTGTGGTTTTTGTGTATAATGTTATTATGTTAAGTATCGTTTACGCAATTGTCTTGTCACAGGCGGCCCAAGCTCACGTCTCGAGAAAAATCCAACGACTAATTCATGAACGCGTCACGCGTTGTGTGACTCGGTGTTAAGTTACGAGAGGAACCGTTGAAAATTTGAACACGTTACTAGAAATAGTATAGGGAACGAAATATGGTCGATTTACAACGATAAATACTTCGAAATATGAACAATTTTCTCGTAAAAATCAATAAAACTTACGCATACCCTGTGTATCCGTTGTAGTTTCTGGCGATTTCTGCCGTTTTAAGCTTGCTTTACCATAATTGTTATTCAAGTCATCTACTTTTGTTACGTTGGTAAAATCTGTACAGACATCTCACCAACCAACTCGCGCGCAAAGTAAGAAGACTATATTGAAGGCTTGAAATTATATCACGATCGATATTCATCAAGAAATGGGCTAGGAATATTCCACAATAGTGCAAATAATCGTGAAAGCTGATCGCGGAAAGCGATTGCGTGACACTCGGTAAGCTGTAAGATGACATGTTATTATATACCAGAGGTAAAAACTCTTTAGATTCTCAGTCTGCATTTTGTACCCATTCTGCAGTCTGCAGTCTATATTTTGTATCCGGTCTGCAGTCTGCTGTCTACGTTTTGTACTTACAGGTATCCGTGGCACCAATACAGTTTATTTTTGGTTACATTTACTCGCACAACACACATAATCTACCACAAAATACCTGTGTGTAAGGTAATTAGACATTTTCGTTCTTTTCCGCGTTAATACTCTTCTTTCCTTCTGTAAGAATGTAGACCACTTACAATGTTTCAAGTAATCCACCCACCCTACAAAAAATAACTCTTGCATGCATAGCATGCCTATGTTTTGAAATAGGTGTATGCCCTTGGCCAGACTTGAGCTCGCTATTTCAGTGTACTAGTGCGACACCCGTAGTATCACTACACTTGATTCCAAGGATCCAGTACCATCCAGGTATCCCAGTTACCCTGCTCACAGGGTCTAGTCTTATAAAAGATCCTCGAGCAGTTATTCCGTTTTCTCGTAGTTTAGGTTTTTCCAGTGACAGAGGCAGCCGGTTAAGTAAAGATGGACTTCGTTTGTTTAGCTATCAGAATTTTAAACAAACCGAAGATAATCTAGTTTTCCTGAAGAACCTTCCTCTCAGCTGGCAAAGGCGTATATTGGTTCAGTGTCACGAAGATTTTGTAGTGAACCCGCTTAAAGTGATGTCACGCTTGTACGACTTTGCTGAGTTGCCTGTGCTCGATCATGTGAAAATATGGATGAAAGAATCGACCCATCCGTTCAAAAAACGAGAGGTTGTGTTGATAGAGTGTCCCCCAGCCTTTTTCACGGTGAATGATGTTTCAGAAACAGCGCATGGTTGGCGGTGGAAGGTACATCCCTATGATATTGACATCATTGAACATTATTGTAAACATGTGATGCAGATAATGGGGTATATACCAATTGATAATGATGAGGACTTGATGGCTGATGTTACTACCCCTCTGTTTAGTGAAGATTGCGAAGCAAAGGAATGGTTGCCAAACTGATATGCACGAGTGAGTACAATAGTTGCTGGTGGACGACCACTCTTTAAGCTTCATATACCATTTAAGTCAATAATTGTGAGGAAAGAAGTAAAAAATCCAAGAAGGTAGTTTGTAGTTTTTTAGATGGCATGTTTTACCAAAATAATCTCCAAGATTAAATTTAGAGATAGAAAACTTTCTTTAAAAGGGAAACAGGAGAGTTTCTTCTTTGGCATCGGAAGTTAGTAGTAGTAGTAGTAGTAGTAGTAGTAGTAGTAGTAGTAGTAGTAGTAGTAGTAGTAGTAGTAGTAGTAGTAGTAGAAGTAGTAGTAGTAGTAATTCATCATGATATCAAATTTTTAGACAAAGTGTTGTGATGAATCAAACCCAAATAACTACTTATAGGCGATCGAGGCGTTTTTGCCTAAAAGTGCTTTGAAGGCACTCCAGGCTAGTGTCGTACCCAGACCTTCCACGGCCAAGCGGCTGTAACAGTTACGTGGTATGATCTGGGTGCGAGATTAACTCGAGTTGCCTTGAGGGGGTGCCGTTATAAATATTATGTGTAAGGTTAGTTGAGGTCATAATGAAGCACAAAGAAACATATGAAATAATGACCGAAAAACTTTGGTGTAAAGTCAAAACTGCGTTCATCACACGAGTTTATAAGGTTAGGAATGTTTCGCTTAAATCGCTACCGTGACTTTTTTCCCGTCTTAAACTGGTGCTTTGTACACGTCGCGTGTCAGAGATAACAGTCCGAATTTCAAACATTTTGTAGCCTGATATTGGGCAAAGGTTTCTGTTAATTAAGAGAGGCTAAAAGTAGAATAAAAGTATTATTTGGGAAAATTTGAAGTGTTTTTCTTGTGTGCTCTCTTGAAAAAAGATGCGGAAACTGCGAATAATCTCTAAGCTTCTATAGGTGCACCTATCGGAGTTCTGGAGTTGGACATGATTTGGGGATATTTCCTTGCCATCCAAATCGCCAAAGCAGAATTCTGTAGAGTCACGGACGTCAGAGAGGACAACGCAATCTGTTCCGTTGATAGGATTGGGTGATCTTCCGCGTGGATGCCTAACTTTTCCATCTCGATGCATGATACATTCGTCTTCTCCATAAAATGCAAAGAGGGCACCAGCCCCTAGAATGCCGGCATAATCTTACCACCAGCGACATGGTCGATATATCCAAATGAGTGAACCGTTCAACTGGTACAAATCTGACCTTGAGCTGTTCTTGATCAGATTAGTTGCTATGCAGGACTAAGGAGCCTTCCAGATGAACGATTTACCCGACAACCGACGGAAAATTGTTGTCCATTTTTCCTCGTTCTTTTGTCTGTCTGTTACGTCAACTGCGTCTTCTACACCGATTAAGATCTAGATGGAGATCATTTCTTTTACTATCCTGACTTAAACGAGTGATTTAGGGCTGATATTACGAGAAGAGAAGTTAGATAATCGATAATAACTCTTTGGAGTCAAACGAAAGAACATGCCATAAATGCGTTTGGTGTTTGGCTTTGCTAGGGTTTTTTCTTTCGCAATGGCGACCAAAGCAGTCGCAAACAGAGGTTCTAAGTTGTCTGAATCTTCGTCGCTGTCCCTTACATAGTTGTCAAACTTTCAACTATGTTAACTCGATCTTTAGTAAGATAATCTTGTCGAGTAGTTATTAAAGATAAAAAAGGAAGTAAATAACTTACCAACTGTTTCTTTGCTCGACGCGGGGGAGAGCCATCCTGATGTTCCGTGTGTTCTGACTCCTCAGGCTCTATTGGGTAGCATTCAACAACAGCAGTGTGCTCTTTCTTCTGCCTCCCCCACATAACGGTTACTTTTTGTCCTGTCTGACAGGAGACGGATCAGCTATGTCCGATCGTGACACTTCAGAATACTGACTACAGCTCCACTTTACTTGAACGAGTTTTTTACAACTAAATTGTAAAACGTGATTTTCAACAACCCCTACTTGTCTAAAGGGCTAAACTAACGCCCCCATATGATAGATTACAATTGAAAATAAGATGACGGGTGACCACTAAACTAAGCTAAGGAACTAAAAGATAATTTGGTTTCATCACCTGAGTTGAAAATGGAAATTGGCCACCGTAAAGACTTTCTAGGCTGACGTTTCGAGCGTTTGTCCATAATAAATCACAATGGAAAATATGACAGTAGCTGAACTCTAAACTCTAGAGCAAATCTTATCTTTCAAATCGGCACTCTTAATTTCCACGGCACCAACGGACGCTTTTTAGTCAACTAACTTATTCTTGTTGCCATGTTCCCACCAAAGGCATTGCTTCATCTTCTGCGTAAAGGTTAAGTAAGTTTATTTTCGTTTATAATTATTCAGACCACACAGACGATAGACCACGAAAACGGTATTACCGTTTGTATAACATCAGTGTCTTGTGCACAGTTTCGCGCAATATTATGTTATGTTATTCAAACATATTTATGCAGGATTGCTGCTTCAGTTTCAACTGCTATCAATGCAGGTCCTGTAAAAAATTAAAAATATAAAAATAAAAATAAAAAAAGATTTAAAATATAGATAAAAATCAAATTACAATATTACAAAATAGTTACACTAAACGAAAGATCGAACAGTTATAAATTCTAAGAATTATTAAAAATTATTAAAAATTTTTGCACCTTTGTAGGAAAAAGCACGCTTGGTGCATTCTAAATTAATTTTTTCTAAAATAAGGTCATTATTATTTCTAGTTTTGTGGCGGTGAATGTCACGGTTTCTTACATTGAAATAATTAGAAAGGTATCTGGGAACTCTATTTGCAATGCACTCATCAACAAATCTTAAAATGTGTGTCCGTCTTCTATAATAGAGAGGTTCCAAGCCCAGTTTAGTCATAATTTGATCAGTTGATAGTTTTGAGGCAGCTTTGAAGTATAAATAAATCATGACCTTTTCTTTCCAATCTGACGTTTTTGTCAATGTTCAATCCACTGTTTCTTCTTTTTCACTTTTTTTGTTGCGATTATATTGCGCACTGTACGTTAAACGTAAACCCCTCTTACAAGAGCACGCAAATTTTAATTCTCGACTTAAAAAGAATATTAAAAACATCTTCGTAAAGTAATACTAGTGTCCAGCGTACAGGAAGAAGAATCTTTGTGTAGCATCAGTAATCACCCTGTTTCTTTTCCGCCTCGTTGCTGTCCTCCTCGAGTTCTTCTTTCCTAAAAAATAAATTTTTACATGTATCTCTATTTCAACTTTGAAGTGAACGGAACAGATTTCCAATAAAAGAAATTACTTTTTTTCGTCATGACATTGGCTATGATCATCCAGACCTGTCGAACATACCATGTATGATTCAAAAGTGACTAAGATTGTGAATTTACTGTTATTTTTGTTTATTTTTTGCAGATAAAGTTAACTTTTTTAGCTTCTCAAGTTATCGTCATCGTCATAGCATCTAGCATCGTATCGACTTCAGTAATTATTTCTGAGTATAACACATACATAAGAAACTCTAATTCAACGCCAATTTTAGAGAGTAATTCGTCAGAATCTTTTATCTTCGCACTAGATAAAACTAACTGCTTTTTCTTGGCATTTCATTGATGAAAGACAAAGACAAAAACAAACAAACAAAATTACGACAACTAAGTAAACTGAACAAGTTAAGTATGTTTATCGGTTCATCTTAGAAAATTGCTCATTATAATCAGACGTACCCTTTTTTCATAAAATAAAATGTCACGTTATCTCCCATCAGCACAAACGGAGCCCATTGGAAAGGTCTGGGGAAGCCATTGCTTCTCAACCATTGAACAGCCTGGTGAAGAGATTCACTCGCACTTTCTCCACGAACAAGGTGTGCGTAGAAATGTTTCATGAGCTTTGACGTTGCTTCATCTTCCACAGCCCACGATGCTACCAACACTGAACGTGCACCGGATGCTAGAAATGCTCGAGCGATTCCAATAACTCCTTCCTTTTTGACCAATCCACGCCCACTGTGACAACAACTAAGTACTACTAGTTTAGCTCGCACTTGAACTCCTTCGATGTCGGACATTGTCAGGAGGTAGTCTTCCTCTTGTGGAGTACTGTTACAAGTATACTGAGGAGAGAGGGCAATCTCTCCTCTTTCGGCATTTCCATGGGCAGCAAGATGTATCAGACTCACTGAAGGTATTGCTTGAAGAACCGCGTGCTTTGTTGCGCGACTTCCTAACAAAGGCTGAACGCCCAGCAGTTGACCAACCATCTCTGCTTCCTTATTTGCACAGAACAATGGTTTAATGTCAGTGAGACGTCCATTATAATGCACTTTGCCAACCGTAGGATCACCGGCAACCAATGCATCAGTTTGACTGTGATAGTCTGCTGGACATTCTTGAATGAGCCGGAGAGTCGTCAGTGAAGGGACGATGCGTATTCTGTACTTCTCCGATAAATACTTTCCAGCTGGTCCATCACGCAAGGCAGCAAATGGGACTCGGTACGAAAAACGATCCGGTACAATAATGATTTCGGGCTCTGTAAGTAAATCTGCCACAGGTGCGAAGATCCATTCGTAGCACAAATGATGACTTCTTCCGGTATCTTTGATTTTGTCACCTCGCAAATTTACTTGGCTCTCTTCATGAACGTTGTCATCCAGCGATCGGTCTTCGCAGTTCGCTGTGGGTAAAACACCAAAGCAGGCGGCGCTCTTTTTGAAAATTCCTTCCACTTCGCAAACTTGCTCAGCGATAAGAGTCTCTACTTTCACCTCGTCTGTTTTTCGAAAGCAAATGTCCCCATTTGTTTTCCATACCCAGAGAAGAACTTGCCGATCTCTATATGAAATGTACAAAAAAACACAGTTACTTTCTCTTTTCACGACGTTTTCGATGCCGAACCATGATCGTGGATCGGCTGAAATGTGGCTTTCAGCGGAGTACTTGTCTGCCATAAATTCTGTGAGGACTCTTGCTCGTCCCAGCTCCTCAACATAGAGAGCATCTCGAAATTTTCCAGTATCGCAAAGCAAATCAGT